AAAAAAAAAAAAAAAATAATTTCAAATAATCACATTAAAACAAAAGTAAAAATGATTTAAATGTCACATAAAACCTAATTGGGTAGAAACCCCAAGTTTACAATATCTAAAAACGGGATTTTTCGGGAATGATCATTTAACCTGATAAAGAACAAGTATTTTTTTAATGGCGTGATAATAGTGATGTAAAAATTTAATTAAAATCTTGTAATAAAAAAAAAAAAAATCCACGTTAGCAATGAAGGAATCAATGGAATCATTAGCGATGACAATATGACATGTGAAAATAAATATTTATAATAAATATAATAAATATAATAAATAAAATAAAAATCAAAATAAAAAAATAAAAAATAACAAATAAAATAAAAAATATTAAATAATAATAATAATAATAATAATATAATTAACCTATCATTAATTCTTCCAAAGACGAAAGAAGCGCAGTTATTAACAATCGTTAAAAAATTACAATTAGTAGATCGATGATATAATTAATTTGACAGGTTTTGCGTGACAACCAAAGTTAGGATAATTATGTACAATTATGGTTAAAAAAAATTTAACCAAAATATTTTTTGCCATGGCTGATCATTTTGAATAATAAAAAAAAAAAAAAGATTAACCATCAAAAATATTCCCATTTAATAAAAGGAAGAACAAAGGAAAATATAATGGACTATTATGATATATAATATTAGAACCGAAATTGCATTTGAAATGTGTAATTCAATTATTTTAGTTAATATCTCCCTAAAAGGAATAACGGTTTTAAAATACCCCACGTTAAACGAGTTTACTTTTTTGTCCCCACACAAAAAAAGTTTAGTGATACATAATTGAAACAATATGTAAGTTAACCCTGTAGATACTCCGAATAATTGATACATAAAAGTAAAGTGATAATAATCTAATAATCGTGTAAAAATGTGCATTAACTCACGAGCTTTTTACTCATACACACGAGGTAATACACATTGCATAATATAACTTGTATGACATTAAATTAAATTTTTAATAAAATATTTTTTTTTGAAAATTTTGAAAATTATTAAATTATTAAAAATTTATTAAACCATTTTTTTTTTTTTAAAAAAAAAAAAATATATTAACTTCTCATAATAGAGCAAATATTCGATAATGAATAGAGTTTATTTAAAGTTCCCTAGGTATAAAAAACAAACCAGCATTGATTATGGATAATGTACAGAATTCAGTAATACAATGATAGATTAGATAGTTATCACATATCAAATCAAAATGTATCAAATATCAGGTATGAGGCGTAGCCCGCCAAATTTCCATACAAAAAAAAACACCTGATTTTTTTGATAGATCACACGATAGACAAATTATTTGACAATCATTTGTTTATTATTTATTAAGATTTAGTTGGGGTTGTGAAATTATTTATTTTTTGATTCATGTGAAATATGTGAAATACATTTAACAAGTAAATAAAAGACATATATAATTTTTTTAATAAAAAAAAAAAAATTGGGATTTTTTTTTAATTTGATCCCAAAGTCAACTTTATAACTTTGTAAAGTTTTAACTTTGGTAAAGTCTTAACTTGGCTTCTTTAACCTGTTAATAAATTACTTAACTTGGTAATAAATAATGAAGATATAAAAAAAAAAAAATAATAATATTTAAAATTTAAAATTAAATTACTTTGTTGTTTATACCCATTTATAAGTTTAATAACCATTTTAGGGATGGTATCAAATTTGACAGATTATTTTTGAGTTTAAAACCGAAAAATTTAAATGTACATAATGTACGGAATGTACGAAAAAAATCCAAACTTGTTTGATTACTAGTACGAACCCCAATTATCGGTTTCATATCATTATTAAATAATAACTAATTTTTCCACAGAAAATTCGGGGTAATGATGAATTGAGTAATGGTTTTTTTTATTAAAAAAAAACGTGTATATTATAGAATTTATAGTATTTTGCTTCAGCGATCGATTTCTTGTATTACCAACCCATCAAAATAAATTTAATAATAATAAATTTTAAACAGTGTTAATCATTTTCTTTTTTACCCCTATCTGTCAAAAATTGATAAAATACAAATATAAATATATTTATATACGTATATATATATATATATATATATATATA